GGATTTAGCAAAACAACCCCTATTACAGGGTGGCTTTGTGTCGCGCCCCCTGTCAGAATTAAAAAACAATAATCCTACATATCGGGCGTTTGGGTGAATAATTGCGAAAACAAAAGCGTCACTGTGGCGCGTTCCTTTTCGTTCCCGTTTGCGTCAATTAAAGAGGGCCGCGCACTTTCATTTGTTTCGCCGTCTCGACGGATTTTTATACGGCGCTAATTAGTTTCCGCGTCGCGGGCGTCACGTAGCGCCGCTTCTTTTTTGTCACTCGATTCGTCGTTGTTTTTTCCCCATCTTGTTCCCGGCCCTTAGCAGGCGGAACGTCCTCTTAGTGGCAATTAGCCTAATGCGAGTGCCATCTTGATTTTGACGGCGAATCTTTCTTCAGACGCTACCTGAGTTTTAATGAATTCCATCATTCCATTTCTCCTCTCCAAAGAGTTAAACTGTTAATTTATCCGCCTCCTAATAGCGATTAATACTCGGGCTTGTTGGCGCCCTAATTTTCGTTTTTTGCTCAGCTTTTTCTGAGCAGTGACGGGCGACTGAATTTTTTAAACATCCCCTCACGTAGCCGCCATCAAAATAATAAATAAGTCCGGGGGCTCCGTTTCAGATAAAAATTAGCCGTCGCGAGTCCCGGCATTCTTTTCTTGTTACCAAATCAATTAACGTCCTCGGAGTTTCTTATAATTAGGGCTCTGGTAATTAGATGGGGCCATTTAAAAAATTGCCACCCAAATAGGGGCTGATGGGGGCTAAAGACTACTGGCTTTTTGTGTTCGTTTTAATGAGACATTTAGCAAATTTCAACCCTTTGCTTTTGGTCTGTTTGGGAGTTTTTTCTATAAAAATCGGCCACATTAGTTGCAGAAAATTCACATTCATAGAGCAAGATCAACTCTATGTGACTGTTTAAAGCGCAATGTTCGATTTCGCTGGAATTCGCAAGAATTAATTGGCAAACTTGCCGTAAAAAAGGCGTTTTGCAAACACTTTGGTTTCAGATTGGCACCAAAAATCAGCCAAATAAGTAATAAAGTTGATAAACTACCCACTTTTAGCCCGAAATCACCTCTATCCAATGAACTAACGTTCAAATGTACAACTGGCCCCGTTCCTGAAAAATTGAATTTTTTAATCGCCTTAATACACAAACAGCGCTTTTGAAAGAACATGATTGACTTCAACTAAGCGCAAAAATTCGACCAAATACGTTTTACAAGTGAAAATAATCCCAGCCATAGACTCAAAATAGCTTTATCCAGTGGCGTAAAAACACTCACAAAAATCTACTTTGGTCGCTTTTTAAACAGCTATTTTTCACAATTGTGTTATCACACAAGTAAAAATATTTACTTCAACTAAACTTAAAAATTCAGCCATGAACCCTGTTGAGCAAAAAAATGCCACGTATAAAGCAAACCATTCTCAATTCAGTGGAGGCATTTGCAAAACTCTATCACGTTTTCTGTTCGACAAATTAATTTTGTTAATTGCGCCAACACCGAATGGGTCTTTCTACTTGCAAACATCTGGGTTTCAGGATGGAGCCAAAAATCAGCCGATCACGCACAAAAACTGCCAAAAATCTCACTCATAGAAGGAAACACGGTGCGTCCACTGGCGTGACTCCTCAAACTTGGCCGTGCTCGCTTTTGGAGAAATAAATTTTTGAACTTGCCTTTGCAAGCAAAGACTCTGCATGCAAAAACTCCAATTTAAAATTCGTGTCAAAAATCAGCCATTACAGTTGAAATGGAAACTCCCAATGACGCTGACCAATAGACCAAATCCTCCTCTATCTCATAGTGTAACCTACGAGTAAAACGCTGTCGCTGTTGGGTTTAGGACAATTTTAAAGCTTCAGTAGCTGCAAATGTTAAAACCTCTACCATCCAGGCAGGAAACATATGCGGCCATTATAACGGCACCAGGCAAGAATAGTACATTGAGAACTGTCGCATTTATAGAGAAAAATCTCCTTTATCTGCTGGTTTACAGCGCCATGTCCTGTCTAGCTTCACTTGAAAAAAATTAATTCTTAAACCTGTCTGGAGTGGCAAAAATGCGTTTTGCTAACACGTTGGTTTCAAATTAGCGACAAAAATCAGCCTAATAAACTGAAAAATTGAAAAAATCTGCACATTTAGAGCGAAATCGGTGCTATCCAGTGATGTACCGTGTATATTTATAACAGTATCCGCTTTGACAAAATTGAATTTTCAACACACATTAGCAAAAAGCATTATAATCAGCGTTTTTGAAAAAACCTGATTGATTTCAAAGGAGCGCAAAAAATCGGTGGAATAAGCTGCTCAAGTGACGACATTCCCACTATTGAGTGAAACCCTCCTCTATCTGCAGTTTTACAGGGCAATATTCTACCTCTCAGGGTTTCGCAGGAATTGATTTTGAAATTTCCCTTAACACGCGCAGAGTCATTTCAAATGAGCTCCAAAAATCAGCCAAATCAGTTGCATAATTTAAAAAATTCACACGTTTAGAGCAAAATCATGTCTACCCAGTGGCGTAGCCCCGAAGATCATGGCTGCTTCAGTTTTTGGAAAATTGGATTGTCATATTGCGTTAATACACAATCAGCGCTTCCGCAAACACTTATTTCAAGTTACCATAAAAAATCGACCAAATCTGTTTTGAAAGTGGAAACATTCCGACGTATAAAGTAGAACTTTCGTAATCCAGTGGCGTAACTGGCAAAAATCTACTTAGCTCCCTTTTTGAGGAATTATTTTTTTCAGTGGAGTTCCAAAGTCCAAAGTTAACGCGCAAAGAGCCTTTCTGCAAACACTTTCATGTCAAATTAACGCCAAATCAGTTCCAAATTTGAAAAATTCTCCGCATTTAGTCCGAATTCGTCGCCATCAAGTGATGGAACGTGAAAACTTATGGCTGCCTCAGTTATGGAGAAATGGAATTTTCATATTGCGTTTGCCCACAAGCAGTGTTTCTGCAAATAACCTGATGGATTTCAAATGAGCGCAAAAAATCGAGAAAATTAGTATCGCAAGCGGAAATATTCCCTGTTATAGACTGAAAGTTCCTTTATCCAGTGGTGTACGTGAAAAAACTCCGCATCACGTGCTTTTTGAGGAATTTAGTTTTATACTTGAACATTAACTGAACGAGGGCATTTTTGCGAACACCCTGACTTCAAGAAAGCGTCAAAAATCAGCCCAATACACATTCAAAATGCAAAAATTGCTAGTTATACAGAAAAATATGCGCAATCCAGTGGATTAACTGAAAAAATTCCACATGGCCCGATTTTTGACAAATCAATTTTTTAAATTTCATGCGAGTTTTTTCAAACATCTTGGTTTTAAGTTATATTCAAAAATAAACAAATTAACTGGGAAAGCCGCGAAAATTTCCGCTTAGCGCGGAAAATATCATCTACCCAATGAGGTGAGGCTCCAAACTCTGCCTCGGTCCCTTTTAGAGAAATTAATTTTTAAGCTCGCACCGAACTATGACTATGCATTCAAACAGCCTGATTTCAATTTTTGTAAAAAAACGCCGATACTGTTGTGAAAATTCGAAGGCTCCTACAAATAGAGCAAAATCCCACCTTTATCGATCCAATTCCCCTCAATCTGATGGTTTAAAGTGCGGAATTTTCTGTGGGCTGGTATCGCAGGAACTCACTTTCAAACTTGCCTTAACGCGCAAAGAGCCGTTTTGCAAACACTTTCCGGTCAAATTAACGCCAAAAATCAGCCAAAACAGTTACAAATTTGAAAAAAGTTTCGCATTTAGTACGAAATCGTCGCCATCAAGTGATGGAACGTGAAAATTTATGGCTGCCTCAGTTATGGAGAAATGGAATTTTCATATTGCGTTTGCCCACAAGCAGTGTTTCTGCAAATTACTTGATGGATTTCAAAGGAGCGCAAAAAATCGAGAAAATTTGTGTCGCAAGCGTAAATATTCCCTGTTATAGACTGAAAGTTTCTTTATCCAGTGGTGTAAGTGAAAAAAAACTCCGACTCACGTGCTTTTTGAGGAATTTAGTTTTATACTTGAACATTAACTGAACGAGGGCATTTTTGCGAACACCCTGATTTCAAGTAAGCTGCAAAAATCAGCCAAATAAACATTCAAGGTGCAAAATTTGCAGGTTATACAGCAAAATATCCTCAATCCAGTGGATTGACTGGCAAAGTTTCACTTGCCCCGATTTTTGACAAATTAATTTTTTAAATTTCATGCGAGTTTTGTCAAACATCTTGATTTTAAGTTATAATAAAAAATCAGCCAATTAACTGGGAACCTCGAAAAAACGTCCACTTAGAGCGGAAACTATCATCTATCCAGTGAGGTGAGCCTCCTAACTCTGTCTCCGTCGCGTCTAGAGAAATTAATTTTTAAGCTCGCACCGGACACAATGATGCAAACACCCGGATTTCAATTCGGTGTCAAAATCCAGCCGGTGCAGCTGTAAACACCAAAAAACCCCCACTGAAAGAGGAAAACCGCCTCTATCCAGTGACGCAACTCCCAACTCTATAGAGCAACGGGTTTTTGTACAACTCAAAGTTTCAATAGCTGGCAAAGGCGAAAGCGGCTGCCAACCAGGCCGGAAACCCTCAGCGACCATTATAGGGGGGACCGAGCAAGAACAATAATCCCCGTTTATTCGCCAACATATGCCCTGATAACGGCAGTGAGGGCTGTTGCAGCCCTAATTCAATTAGACAAGCCCCCGTATCGAACAGACGCCCGTTCTCGATTACATCGAGCATACAGAGCGTTCGCAAAACATCCCAGCCACATTCCTCAGCACCTGAGCGCTGGGCCAAAGTTCCCAGTCAGCAACTGGGGGGGACTTTGGGAAATTATGGCCTTCTTGTTGTCTAATTAGTAAATAATTCACTGGTAAGCCGCCCCGGCAATTAATTAGACCCGTCAAGGCGCTGAGCAAGGGTTAGCGGCGCTGTTGCCAGCAGTGTAGCTGATTTTAAGGAAATTGCACTCACCCGTATGGATGTACGTGTGCTTCTTCATGTCCGACTTCTGATGGAAGCGCTTACCGCAGTACTGGCACGGGTAAGGCCGCGTGTCCGAGTGGATGAGCAAGTGCGTCGATAGAGTCGAGGATCGCTTGAAGGTTTTGCCGCATTGCTTGCACTCGAAGATTTTCTCGACATTGTGAACAGCTCTAGAAGGGAAGCTGAGTTGTAGGCTCCCATTAAACCGATTGGTTGATGAGCCCAATAACGTTGGCTGTGGACCTGGCCGGGACTCACCTGTGTTGGCTCAAGCTGATCTCATGTCCGAAAGTCTTGTTGCAAAGCTCGCAAGCAAAGGGCCGCTTCCCATTATGCGACCGGCGTGCATGCACCTCCAGCCCATGGGGCGTGGAGAACATCTTCTCGCACTTAATGCAGGAGTAAACGTCCCCTGCAGCAAACAGAAACTTATTTGGGCCGCCCTGTACGCGCCGGCGGCCTACTAACCAATGGGCATCATCCCAGGCCGCATCAGCAGATGATGGTGGTGCGGGTGGATCCCATTCGGGTTGTTCATAAAGTGGTGCTTCAGCCGATAGAGATCTTCGGCAGATGGCGTGGGGGGGTACTGGGAGGCCGACTGTCCGCCACTGGCCATCGCCGCCGCCACTGCGCTAAAGTACAGAGAGGTGGGGGTGGGCAGGAAGCTGCGCTCCTCGCCCTCCTTCGGCTGGTAGAGGCTGGGCGGGAAGAAGGAGGGATGCACAAAGCCGCGCGGCAGGAAGGAGGGGCTGTACTCCTGCGCACCGCGCTGCAACGACTGCGCATCCTTCATGAAGTCAACGAACGGCGGGTAGAGGTAGGAACGAGTCACTGAGATGGTCTCCTGGTAGCAGGGCGTGGATTTGGAGTGCTTTTTCGGGTTGTCCGGGCGCAGCAAGGCGCTTACTGAGAAGGACTCGCTCTTTTTGCTGCTGGGCGAGTCCTCTTTTTGCAAGTCGGTCACTGAGGAGGGCCGTGGCGAGTCCCTGCAACCAGCAATGAGTTGAAACAGTGGCCCAAGTGAGATGGGACACTCTGGCGCCATCTATTGCATATGAAAAGTACAGGAAAACACGGAAATTATGACTGTGTAAACAGGGAATTTTTAGGAGTTGGCGCAGTAACTCAGTTCCGTGGCTGGCAAGGAGTTGATGACTTTTTGGCATTTCTAAACAATACTGTCTCTAAACAGAAAAATCGCGCTTTTTCTAACATTTTGCTGCAAAGAACTCAGAAACTGAATATTTTATGTAAAAAAATTGTCCACTTTCTTTGCACTCAGTTCTGTTGCTGGGAAATTCTAGATGACATTTTCTTGGTTGCGTGAACAAAGTAGCAAAACGTTACTCAAAAAATGTGGATGACCTTTGTTTAAATGGGAAAATTCCAGTTTCGGGTCTCGTAAAGCTTTAATAAATGACTGATAACTCATTAACCCATGAGTTATAAGTCGTTAACTCACAACTCAATAGCGCAACTATATATCGCTCAGTTGATTAATGTCAACTCGTTTGACTAAGAAATGTTATGGAAACGTCAATGGAACTTGACTTTCCTGGACTCCTCATACGCAAAATCTCCAAACGCTTACCTAAGGGAAGGGGAATTGGTTCTGGAATGCGCAGGCGAGTCCACTTCAAGTTCCGGGCTGGTGCCGCTAGAGGGCCGACTGGGCGACTGTCCCCACGTGCTGTCGTTCCTCGGGGAAGTTCGTTCGTCCCCGCTAAAGTAGCTCACCCCCTCTTCTCTGTACTGCGAGTTGTTGTTGTTGTTGTTATTGGTCGGCTCCTCCTCGTCGTCGGACTTCGACACCAGCCGATTGACGCCGAACGAGATCGGTTCTAAAACATGCGCCCCTTGATATTTGGAAACCATTTTCGAGTTTGCCTCACTTGGGAACTATCCAAACTTGACATTGACATTTCAAAAGTGACAGAGCGCGGATGCCAAAGCCCTAGATTAGTCAACATTGCAAATTTCAATTAAACAAACCCGACTCACCGTTTGTTGTTTTTACCACTTTGCACTCATGTATTGATTTGAGGGGAGAATTTGGGGATCGATTAATTGGCCCCCACCTGCCCCCCAAGTCAAACAGGGCCTAATTTACGACCTTATATAGCGCGCACACCGGGTAATTACAATCAAACACTTCATTATTAGCCGAGAAAGCTCTAATATTTTCATTTGCCATAAAAGTGATTAATGAACGCTGCCTAGTCGGTGTTGCCTTTATTTACTTATCAATTTTCAATTATTCCATTTTGATTGATTATATTTGCTTAATTCGTTTATGAGTTTGCGGAGGAGGGTGGGGCGCGCCTCGGAAATGGTTCACGCTTCTATCTTTAGAATGACAGCTATTTTTGGAAACTTGGCGCTATATTTAGGTTAGACTTGTCTATGCTGGACTGTCACTGTCAAACCGGTTTGCCCCTAAAGGTTTTGACAGTGACACAATAGTGGTCGTTTTCTGTTTCTGTTACGTGCCCACCGAGCGAGACGGAAATTTGATGTTTGTGTGCCAATTGCGGGCACCAAAAATCCCTAAGCAAAATTGCACAAATTATTTTCACCACCATCGCCCAAATCTTGTGTGAGTTTCTCACTTTTTTGGCAGGTTTGACACCAAAAAACACACCGTTTAACGCTGGGTGTGTTTTTTGGTGGCAAACCTGCCAAAAAAGTGAGGAACTCACACAAGATTTGGGCGATGGTGGTGAAAATAATTTGTGCAATTTTTCTCAGGGCAAATTAACAAAACTGATGATCTCTCTTTTGCAACTTCAAATAATTTAAATGGCATGTTGCGCATATCCCAACGGTTTTAGTTGCCAACTAGAAGCGAAATTTGAAAACGCGTGGTTGCCAAACGCTGACCCGTTTCTCCATTCTCGTGAAAAACGCGCAACAAGGCAAACGACCCCTAGAAATTAATTGATTAAGCTTGAGAGATGATCCAAGCAATTAATTGGCCCACTCCATTGCCAACTTACTGGCGCGTTCAATTGATTTCGCTGAGGGGAGTTCTGGCCGATTCACCAAAGATCCGGGGCCTGGTTGTCTTTGTTTGGTCATTACGACTGTTTGTTTCCATTGGGGAATTTTTGATCAGCAATTTGCCACACGACATACCAAGTAAAACAACTGTGGAATACTTGATTTGTTTGCCGATGTGGCTCCGGCCGGTCTGCACCGTTTTGGGTCGCTGTTGGTGCCGCGCGAGCGTTGCTCCCTCCTCCTGCTCAATGCCCAATTATTGCGGCAAAAAGAGCAAATAATAGAGCAAGTGTTAAAATAAGAGAAGTCGTCTCGAGCCAGCTGTCGCCCATGAATAATTCAAAGCCACCCCCGATACACATTACACAGCCCCGATCCTTTATGTTGCACATTTAGCGGGGTCCTTCTGTTTATTGGAGGGGCCTGCGACCTAATGACCGGGAAAAACCGGCAAGATTAGTTTCCGTCCTCTGGGGGATTTCATTCGCTTTAATTGTTGTATTTCTATTTAGGTTTTTCCCCGGCCAAGCCTTCTGGATTGTCTTCTGCAACGGGGTTTTTTTGACAAGTGACATTGACAAGGGCACAGTGGCAACACTGTTCGGCGGTTTTTTTTTCGGTTTATTGCCTGCATCCGGCCCGAGAAGGGGTGACGATTGCGGTGAAGACGCGATCGCGACCAAGAAGTCGCAGGTAAACAGCACATAAGTTGACGTAGCGCTCTTTATCAGCTAATTGATTTTGTTTGGTTGTTTGATCTCGGGCAGCACAATAATTTGTGTTAGATTAAAAGTGATTTACAATCCGTGATGGGGACTCATCGATCAAACTGCCATCGATATCTGAAATCGCTGCTTTATCGGCATGGTCGCTTTTATCGTTCCGCTATCGGAGAATGTCTGCACCTCTAATCCCACCGCACACATTCACCATATACCACCATTTTCACAGCTGCTCGCTTTTATAACGATTTTTTTCAAACCAACACAGGTAGTTGGCCTGTACGGTCACACGCTTCGACACTTTCAGTTGTCACTTGTCGTCTGTCACTTGTCAGCGGCCATTAGTGCGCTTTGATTGGCTGCGTGGGCAGCCGGTTGAATACTGTTTAAGACCTTGCTGGATTTTTGGTGATTTTGCGGAAGATCCGCCGTTGGCAGAGTGGCGGTTTCGTTTGGAAATAGTCCGAAAATCACCAGAATTAGTCCCGGCCGTAAAATTTTGCTGATTAATAGACCAAAAGTTGATCTTTCCAGTGGCGTAAGCAGCACTTTTCTCTCTGGGCTTGATTTTTGAGGAATTCACTTTTTAAAATTAAGGCGCAAAGTGACTTTGTCACTTTGTGTTGGTCAAGTGTGTAGAAATTCGTGAAAAATCAGCTAAAATAATAATTGCATTGCATTTTCAGTAGCGTAAGAAGCACTTTTCTGGTCGGGCTGTATTTGCAGAAATTAATTTTTGAACATCAACGGGCAAAGTGACTGTGCCAAGTTAACACCTGAATGTGGAAGAATTTTAAATAAAAAAACTTCAAATAAACGCTATTGAAACGATATTTTCGGCATTTTTAGGCCGAAGGACTGTTCTTGCCAGTGGCCTCCAAGACACTTTTCTAACGGAGCTAAATTTTKAAAAATMAATTTTKGAAAATCAGGGTACAAAGTGGGTGACTTGGTCAGGGCGAGTCAAGTGTGCAGAAATGCGTGAAAAATCAGCTAAAATAGTAATTGCATTGAATTTTTTTGGCGATTTTACACAAAATCTTCCTCTTTTCAGTAGCGCAAAGAGCACTTTTCTGTCCACTCTGGATTTTGATGCATTAATTTTTATACATCAAGGTGCACGACGATGTCAAGTAAAAGCCTGAATGGGTAGAAACTTTAAACAAAAACTAGAAATAAAAGCTAGTTTTGCACGGTTTTTGAAATTTTGAGAAAAATATTCGTTGTTTCCAGTGGCGTGGAAGCCATTTTTCTCTCTGTGCTAGATGTTGACAGACTCATTTTTCAAAATTAGTGATTATTGTTTGTAGTAAACACCTTAGTGGGTAGAAATTTATAAAAAAATAAAAAAAATCCACTGCAGCGATTTTTCCGGTATGGTTAGAGAAAACTTTCCTTTTCCTAGTATCGTTCCAAGCGCCGTTTTATCCCTACTGGATTATGAGGAATTAATTTTTCAAAATCACATTGCAAAGTGGGGTCTAAGTGCGCACTTGATGTGTAAAAATTTGTAAAAAACTTTAACAAAAGTCGTTACGGTAATATTCTCAAAGTTTTGAGAAGAACATTTATTCTTTCCAGTGGCGTACTAGGCACCTTTGTGGCTGCGCTAGACGTTGAGAAAGAAATTTTTGAAAATTTGGGTGCAAGGTGACTATGTCATGTAAGTAACTGAAAGTGTAGAAATTTAAAAAAAAACATTAAGACACACGCGATTACAACGACCTTCTTGGCAACATTTTAAAAAAGGCTGCTGTTTCCCGTGGTATAAAAATCACCTTTCTGTCTCAAAGGAATTTGCAGAAAGAATTTTTTGAAAACCAAGTTGGTGACCGACTATGTTAAGCTGCAACGTGAGTAAGACGATTAGAAATTCGTCAAAAATCAGCGAAAACAGTGATTGCAATGAGTTTTTCGGCCTTTTTAGACAAACGCTTGCTCTTTTTAATAAAGCACAAGGAACTGTTTTATCCGCACAGGATTTTGAGAAATTAATTTTTAAACATCCAGGAGAAAAGTGAGTATTTCAAGTAAACGCCTGAGTTTGTAGACATTTGTGAAAGCATTAAAATAAAAGCCAACGCAACGACGCTTTGATTCTGGCAGAATTAAGGATAGTTTTGTTTCCAGTGGCGTACAAGGCGCCTTTCGACCTCAACTGGGTTGTGGCAAATTACTTTTTGAAAATCAGGTTGGAAAGTCACTATGTCAAGTAAACTTTAAAGTGTAAAAATTCGGAAAAAATCAGGAAAACCCGCAATTGCAGTAACATTTTAGGCTGTAATAAGGAAAGGTTGTGCCTTTTCAGGGGCGTTACACGAAATTTTCTAAAGGGCCGATTTTTTCCACAATGACTATTAGAAATACAGTTTTCAAGCGATTTGATTCGCACCTTGGTGTGAAAAAATTCGTTATTTTGCCAAAAAAAGAGCCACAGCAGTGAGCTTTTCAGTAATAATAACGGAAACTTTGGAGTTTCCATGGGAGTCGCAACGGGTTTTGCATTTGGGCTAAATTGTGAGAAATTGATTTTTGAAAATCAGTTTTCACAGCGACCAAGCAAAGCAAGCACCTGTGGGCATAAAAAATGCGCCAAAAACATCAGCAATCAGCAGAACCAATTGTAAACCGAAAGTGGCGACTTGAAGCCCAAATTATACTCATTTTAGTGGTGAACCCCGATTCTACACACACAGCCCGGTTTTCGAGAAATTAAAACTCAAAATCCAGTTCGCACTAGCGATGTTTGCAGCTAAGTGAAAAAAATCAGCAAAAAATGCCATTTCAAGACTTTTGTCAATAACAACGAATAACTAGCTCTTTCCAGTGGCGTACGGATCGCTGAACTGTCCAAAATTATGAGCATTTGTCGCGTTTTCCGGCCTGGATCAGATGAAACTCAATGCGTTAGGCCTGTTTGGCTCAGAACTAACCCAAAATTACTTCTGCCCGTTTCTGAAGTCCGCATGCCCCAGGGCCGAACGAAGAATAATTTTTCGGATGTTTAACAGTTTGGGGGTAACTACGGGGTAAGTGATTAGTTTGGATGGGGCTGAAATTGCGCAAAATACGGTCCTGAGTGCAATAAAGGCGACGAATTCGGCAAGTATTTACGAACG